TACAACCACTCCTAAAGACGGCTTGAATTCATAACTCAACTATCTTACTGTGATTAAAAACAAGCAAATATTATTTACAGGTTACCAGCAGTGACTGAATTAGAAAATTAGTATTACACGTTTAAATGATTAACTAATTCAAGACAGCTTTTAAAGGACAAGTATGGCTTTACTTTCATAAAGATCATAGTGCAGAACTTATTTTCTCAAAGAAAACTTTTTATAATTCCACATATCACAGAAACATTAGATCATCATTATGTCAGGTCTACAGATGTGTAAAGAAAAATGAAGACTGAAAACTTCTGATGCATAAAACCCAACATTGGTCTTTCACTGTCTAAGCCAGTTGCTTCTGCACTGACTCTATTACTGAAAATCTCCTTGGTACAAGCTAGTATTCTATAGTTAGCTGACTATGTTTTCAGTAAAATACTTAAACAATGGAGGTTCTGATAATGTCTCTCAGAACACCACAATTCACTAGGGTTTAGTACCAATATTAAATGCCTATAAATAATTTCTGATTAAGCTGCATTGTGGATAAGTTTCACTGTTCTTTTGCATTATTTTGTGAAAAGCGCATTAGATTAGCTTTTTTACAAATAATAGCTAGTAGTATTAGAGTAGTAAATCGTGCTACCCAGCATAAGATTTATGCTCAACAAGATAAGCAGTTTGGTTCTCATAATTGCGCTTGTTGTTGTACAAATCAGAATAACAGCTTGCACTTTACTGTAGAATAAACCATGCTGCACTCCATGAGGTGCAATAGGAACATTCATACCAGACATGTAATCCACACCTACACTTCATGGGATTATATAACCAGTTACTTCCTGGTCAAACAGGATGGGTTGCACAGCTTGTAATTCAGTGCTTCTGTAAGTGAATTTTTTTTAAAAAGAAGGGAATAACATTCCCTGATCAGTATGAATTTTCAGAGAAGAACCACAATCACAATCACATTGGTCAACTCTTCTGCTCTTTCAACACTGTACTCTGCTCTTGTGAGACCCCATCTGGAGTCCTGTGTCCAGCTGTGGAGCCCCCAACATCAGAAGGATATAGACCGGTTGGAGAGAGTCCAGAGGAGGCCACAAAGATGCTCAGAGGGCTGGAGCACCTCTCCTATGGGGACAGGCTGAGAGAATTGGGCTTGTTCAGCCTAGAGAAGAGAAGGCTCTGGGGAGACCTTATTGCAGCCTTCAAGGACCTGAAGGGGCCTACAAGGAAGCTGGGGGTGACTTTTTACAAGGGCCTGTAGTGACAGGACAAGGGGGAATGGGTTTAAATTGAAAGTGGGGAGGTTTAGATTAGATATCAGGAAGAAGTGCTTTACAGAGAGGGTGGTGAAGCCCTGGAATAGGTTGCCCAGAGAAGCTGTGGATGCCCCATCCCTGGAAGTGTTCAAGGCCAGGCTGGATGAGGCTTTGAGCAACCTGGTCTAGGGGAAGGTGTCCCTGCCTGTGGCAGGGGGGTTGGAACTAGATGATCTTTAAGGTCCCTTCCAACCCAAACCAGTCTAGGATTCTATCACTCTCTGAACTTCACCTGCAGTTGTAGATCTGAATGCATCCAGCTGCTCTAAGCAGTCCACAGCCTGTTGATCTCCTCTGAGCTGCCCATCTCTCTTTCTAACCAAGCCACTACATGCTGCTTTGAGAGCAAGTTTTGCTTGTAAAGACCAAGGCAAAAAAAAAAAAAAAAAAAAATTGAGGACTTCAGCATTCTCTGCATTCTGGGTAGTAAGTTGATTTACTCCCATCTAGCAATGGGACTATCTGCATTTTCCCTAGGCTTCCTTCTGCAGCTAGCATACCTTTAGAATCACTTCTTGTCAGCCTATACTTCCCCTGTTAGTCTTCGCACCCGATGAGCTTTGGCCTTCCTGATATTTCTGATAAGTATGCTTCATGGTACTTTCATATGCCCTTTCTGTAAACTCTTCCTCTTTCTACACCATCTAGGTGTTGTACAGGGAATACGTTACTGCCACTGCTAGTAACAGGCTACGGGGCTTTATATCCAGTCAAGAGTGCATAGCATCAGGGACATGTCACACCTTCTTTGGACTTGAGCTGTTTTAGCTGTAACAGCACACAGCTAAAATGCCAACTGTTGCTTTATTAATTTTTCAGCTTAATGGTGCATCATTTTGTGACACTACCCTCTAGAAAGCATACAGTATATGATAAAGTCCTAACAAAGTTCAGGGGTAATTGTAGAACTAAAACTGGGGACCACTAAGAAAGCAACTGTAGCAACATACCCTTTTGGAAACATATAAGAATAACACCAAGCAGATACTGGACTGAGAAAGAAGAAACAGGCATTTTATCAATAATTTCTTCCCAGTGAAAAACCCAGGATGCTGATGACCCTGCCTAATTTACTGTGAAGAAATACAAGGCAGCTACGAGAAGATTTGAGTATATCAGTTAGCAACAATTAGTATTAATTGGATAATTTGGACAAAAACTATCAGTGGTCAGGGAATTTCAGTTCAGCAACATATCCCAATGTGTCTGCCCAGCCAATAACCACCCTCCTCTGAAATTCTCTGTAACCTTTCCTCCATGCAGAAGCTACAGCTGCCTGTGTTCAAGACCTGCTCCGATACAGTGCATCTGCGTAATCTGGTATCAGACTTTGTGAAAAAGGTTAAATTGTGAGTAAACAGCATCTGGGACCTCCTCCCATTGGCTCCAGTTGCATTTAAACTCAGGCTTCTGCAGTCAGTACTTTCCCAAGTTATGTCCTAGGTGTGCTGCCTCCGTCCGTACACCTTGCCAAGCCTAGCCTACTTGACTTCCTAGCTTGATCTCAGTTAATAAGTTTTCTGAAAAAATCACCTAGCTCTGAGTACCTATCTGTACATGGCTGCTTCCTGGACTTGCAGTTCTTCCTGCTTATTGTCCAAGTTGTCTGCTTTAGTGTACAGACTTGAATAAGCTGAATCATAGCATCACAGAATGGTTTGGGTTAGAAGGAACCTTAAAGACCATCTAGTTCCAACCCCCCTGCCATGGGCAGGGACATCTTCCACTAGACCAGGTTGCTCAAAGCCTCATCCTTGAACACTTGTACACATTCAGAGAGGGTCATCCAAACTTCTCCGGGCAACCTGTTCCAATGTCAGTTGCTATGCCACCCTTTTTGCCTGACTTCCTCTTTGTTGGGACATATTGCTCCTGAGCTTGGAGGAGGTGATCCTTGAATACTAACTAGCTATCTTGGGCCCCTCTTCCCTCCTGGGCTTCATCCATAGTACTCTAACAAGCAGATCCCTGACGAGGTTGAAGCCTGCTCTCCTGCCAGGGCAGCAAGCTTGCTGTGTGCCTTCCTCTACACCCTAAAGACCTTGAACTCCACCATTTCATGGTCACTGCAGCCAAGGCTGCCCTTGAGCTTCTCATTCCCCACGAGCCCCTCCTTGTTGGTGAGAGCAAGGTACAGCATAGCACATCTCCTCGCTGGCTCCTCTATTCCTTGGAGAAGGAAGTTATCATTGACGCATTTCAGGAACCTCCTGAAGTGCTTATTGCCTGCTGTGTCATCCCTCCAACAGATATCGGGGTGGTTGAAGTCCCCCATGAGGACCAGGGGTTGTGAGCATGAGGCTGCTCCTATCTGTCTATAAAGAGCCTCACCCACTTGGTCTTCCTCATCTGTAGCAGACCCCACTGTAATGTTACCTATTCCTGAAAAAAACCTGCTGTCCCCTTAATCCTGACCCCTAAACTCTTGGTCAGCGCCTTGCCCATCCACAGGTGGAGCTCCATGCTCTCCGTCTGGTGACGGACATCGAGGGCAACATCTTGTCCTTGTCTCCCCTGCCTGTCTTTCCTAAAGAGGCTGTGTCCTTTCATTCCAATGATCCAGTTGTTTGTGAAATCTCAGTATGGACAGTGACTTGGCGATCTTTGATAATTCTTTATCTTATTTTATTTTTTAAGATATGTTAAAAAAGGTGATTCTGCCCCTGTACTCTGCTCTTGTGTGACCCCACCTGGAGTGCTGCATCCAGCTGTGGAGCCCCCAACATCAGAAGGATATTGACCAGGTGGAGCGAGTCCAGAGGAGGCCACTAAGATGCTCAGAGGGCTGGAGCACCTCTCCTATGGGGACAGGCTGAGAGCATTGGGCTTGTTCAGCCTGGAGAAGAGAAGGCTCCGGGGAGTCCTTATTGCACCTTCCAGTACCTGAAGGGGCTACAAGGAAGCTGGGGGGGACTTTTTACAAGGGCCTGTAGTGACAGGACAAGGGTTAATGGGTTTAAATTGAAAGTGGGGAGGTTTAGATGAGATATCAGGAAGAAGTTCTTTACAGAGAGGGTGGTGAAGCACTGGAAGAGGTTGCCCAGAGAAGCTGTGGATGCCCCATCCCTGGAAGTGTTCAAGGCCAGGCTGGATGAGGCTTAAGGAACCCGGTCTAGTGCAAGGTGTCCCTGCCCATGGCAGGGGGGGTGGAACTAGATGGTCTTTAAGGTCCCTTCCAACCCAAACCATCCTATGATTCTATGTTTGGAAATATTGTTGAAACAAACTTGCTTGGAAGGTCAGCCAGAAATAACCTCAAATGTTTTGTTCTTATTAACTCCTTTGCCCATCTAGAATTTAAGAAAATAATATAAAATATTTTGGAAAATAACTGAGGAACATAATCAAAACAAAACATTATCTATTCTTCTTAGACATCAGCTTCCAAAATACACCCAAGCAATCTCCTTTGCCTAAATGTCACAGTACAATTAAACAGCCAGCTGCCTGTATACGTGAGGCTGCAGGACCTAAGTAGTCTACTGTGAATAGCTGTTACAGGCTTGTGTTATTTCTTAGCCCATAGCACAGTCTACAGAGCATTTCAGGGTGCATGCAAATGAAATACAATATCTCTATTGCTAGGAAATTCAATGAGGCAAATGTAATCATATTTCCCCTCCCCCAAAAGAGAAAAAAGAAAAAAAACAAAACCAAACCACCAAACACAACCTGTACCTGTCAGCATGACATCTACCAACACGTTTTCAGGAGTTGGATTTTTGAAGGATATGATGACAGAAGAATGCTGGCCAAGGCATGCACTTATTGTGGTTGGTTCCATCATCTTAGGTGGAAGACCAGTCCCCAACAGGTAAAATATCCACTCCTTAAGCTGCAGAGGAAACATGTCATTATTTAGATTTTGATGAGTTAGATCTGTACATTTTCAGGCGTTTTGCCTATTTTCCCCTAGCGTTCTATGTCTCTTTTCTGTTGTAAGTGAACTGCTGTTTAACAGTTCCTTTCTTTCTTCTCTCAAGTTGTTATGTTACCTTAAGTATTCCTATCTGGAAACCAGTAGTTCCAGTCTGGGAGATTTTCACATCTTCTCATTGTATTTAACTTCTGTGCTACTCTGAGCACCGAGTATTTAACTTCCATGTAGTTACTCAGAGCTGCCAGTGTAGTGAAAGGAAAAATACAGGTGTTTGCAAGAGGGTAATTCAAAGCACATATATTAGAACCTGAAAGCAGATAAAGTGGAAGTGCTCTTCAGAAGACAAAGGAAGAAGGAAAATAATTCTTGGGTGGGGCAGCAGAAAAATCACCCAGAAAGCTAAAATTGTTACTCCCAAGATAATAAAAAATATTAACCACTATCAAGAATATTGGAAAGAACTAGTAGATGTAGTAGATAACTAGAGTATCACCACAGAGCAGAAAAAAAGGTAAATATAGATAATGAAATTGATGTGTTGATATTGCTAATATTTTCAGCATGAGTTGCCTATTCCAAATTTACTTGTTTAAGGTTATAAAGAGCTATGCTAATAATGCCACGCATTATGGAATGTTTAAAGGTGAATAAGCAGCAGAATTGAATGATAAATGTAAAGATGCTACCATTATTCTAAGGAAAGCATTTAAGTTGTACATTCATGTTGCTGTTTTAGTAACCATACAGACTAAAACCTGAGATTTATTACAAACTGTTCAAAGTGACCCTTTGAAAGGTTTTGTTCATTCTCAGTCAAAAAGGTATGCATCACACAGATAATAGAAAATAATAAATACAATCAAAACACTACTTTCAGTATCTGAAATATTGCATTTAAATCTGCATAGCCTGTCTGAAAAAATAAGGCAAATCTTCAATAGACAGGGTTCAAAAATCTAATAATAAATCTGGAAATATTTACTGTATAAAGTGACTAATATATTGAGACTTCTCAGTATAACCAGGGATAAATAAAAGGGACATTATATGTCTTCAGAAAATAGTTTCAGACATCAAATTTGCATGTCTTCGTGTCATTTTATAGAGAATCATTCAATCTAACAAGGGAGAAGACAATTTAATCTTACTAAAAGACATTTGTTAGTAAGAGTCATTCAAAGCTACATGATTTTAATAAAAATTAAAAAAAAAAAGAGGAAGAAATGTTTATAGATGGGTGTAGGAACTACCTAATATTAGAAGTCAGAATATAAAACTGGAGCCTATGTTTTGTTTAGGATTTAGACAGTTATTTATATTGCCTGGTTTACAGGGACTTCTGCATCACTCAAACTAATTAGAATTAAAATCTACATCCCTTTAAAATTCCATTTTATTTGGTTATTGTTGGCTTAATCACGACCTATAGACTTTTTATAGTTATAGGTTCATGAGCAGGAAGCTAGCACCACCCACTGTTCAGATTTTGGTGGGAAGGCAAATGCTGCTGCTATCCAGACTTTGAAACAACACAGGACTAACCCTTGGTGTAGACCCTTGGCTGGTCACAGTCAATAAGAAACTGCCCAACAGTGGCCGAGACAGTATGCCATAGCACTTGTGTTCATGACTCATCTTCTTCCTTACCACATCTGTCTCGAGAAACTAAATGCAAACTAAAGACCGAGCACACTTGGAAGGTTTATTTTGAAGAACAGGAACACAGACATGAGGATGCCGGAAGACCATGTTTTCAGAAAGCTGGATCTGGCAAGCTATTAGTGGTTCATACTGGCTTGTTATTGACACTTTGTGCTTGCTTACAAATACAGTAACAGTAACCAAAAATGTATCTTTGCAAAACTCGTAATACAGACGTTATGAGGCAATAATTGGCTAACAATGCTTTACCACTGTAAATTTCTGTGAAACACCTTGTCCATAGCAAGTAATTTTACACTGAGATACAGTGCAGGGGTGGGAGAATGCACACATTCATATTTTGTGCAGGTGAGCTGTAAAGATCAAGTTTGAGCTTTATTGCTGAAGGCTCGGGTTCATGGTCCACAAACATTAAAGACTCTAGCTTCTACTGTTTTTTTGTGGTTAACCAAGCAGAGAAATTTTGAACCCCACCACTTCAAGTGCTGAGCACCTTTAAAACAACCCACTGAAACTTTGTCAAACTGAGCAGCTAAAGAAGCAGCCAAACAAAATTAGGGGTCAGTTTGGAAAATAAAACAAGATGACCAAAAGATTCTACAGTTTAGAGGACAGGTTTGCCTGTCCTAACCTGAGTTACTGTTCTCCACAGACCCACTGTGTGATGGAGCTTACCATCACGTATACTCAGTGCAAGAAATCAAGAGGAAAAAAAGATTTAAAAAAAAAAAACAGAAACCTAAGGCAAATAATAAAAGAGTCTTTAAGGTCCCTTCCAACCCAAACCATTCTGTGATTCTATATTTTACTTTCTTCTCTTTTAAAATTTGGAAAATTCACAGAGAAAAATTGTCAACAATTCTAAGATGCTCAAAGTAAAAAACATTTTCAACTGAAAGGAAGAATTCACTTTTTCAAATGCATGACCTTCCAAAATTAGGATCAGATAAAAAATGAAACAATTTCATTTTGTTTGGGGTTGGGAAAAACATCAAGAAATTTCATTTCAGAGGTGACAATGATTAGAAGGTCTTCTTGGTGCTAAAACCAGCAGAATTAATTACCAAGAAAGGTAAAATTATTCATTACCTATTCTAGCTCCTAGGCCCTTATGCCACATTTTAATATTGTAAATAGAACAATTTCTGTGTAAAACAGTTTAAAACAAATTATAACTTTTGAACATCTTTGCACCTGCTCTTTCATTATGCATCCAGCCATTAAATTTCAATCTGACCTTCAGACTGAAACCCTTACTTACATGCCTATTAAAGACATTATCTAATCTGAATTCCAGGTGTTTTGGGTAAAAAACCCCATAGTATCATACCTGTGAACATTTGAAGGTTATTGATGCCTTATGATTGCCTCTTCCAAGGGCAGATGGACGGAATTTCACAGGTACTTCAGTGGTGGAATGAGGAGCAACAATCAGCTGTACAAATACAAGAAAGTAGCAAAGGAAATAGAGGTTAAAAAAAAAAATCTATTTTTTTGAGTCTGTTTCTGTTTTGTGCTTTGTATCAACACTGTTGATGTTTATGTGATTAATGTGTTCCACCAGAAGCACTCTCTACTCTCAGCAAGCATAGGCTGCTAAGGCAGCAAGTGTATTGCAATAAACAACCCTACTGACAGTCACTGCACGTTCCTTCCCCAGAAACTACAGAGCTGTGTGCTACAGATTGCTCCAAGGACATGGACAGCAGCTCTCACAAACACCATTCAAACATGACTTGGGTGTCGGATCGTACTGATGACACTAAAAGGTTATCACACTGACCTCCAAAGCACAGACTGGCTTATAAGGGAAATACATGGTAGGCTTTAATAAACTAGGGCTTTGTCTGTCTTCCACTTACCTTTATGTAAAGTGACGTTGTAAATGATGCTGCTGGTTTTCTCTTCATCTGAACTACACTATTGGTGTCTCAATTGCACAGGGAAAAGCAAAGGAGCTGACTACCATGGGGTCATAGATGTTTTTAAGAACTACATAAGCAGTGAAAGAATATAATTATGAATAATAAAAATGCCAATGCACTGAGAGAATGATCAGCTAGAATCACTGAATACACAATTACCCTGTCTATTTTTTTAATTAAAACAAAGTACTATGCTTTTAGTACATGGTTCAATAATGTTTGCATGTGAGAAGATAAAAAAGATAATTGATTTGAATTATGGACACTCAAGCTGTATTTTATAAGATGAATGTAGTGAATGAATAAGGGGCAAAACAACATGCTACAACAGCTGGCACTGACAGGCCCTTTTATAAAGGGGATGTCAGTCCTGGAAGAATGGGACACTAGCAGGCATGAACAGGAGTTATTAAAACATTCATTTGTGCTTATTACATTTAATGGACGCCAGAAGCCTGACAGCACCAACAAACCCCAAAGCCCCTTCCCACCCTGGGGGCTTGACTGCCTGTGCTCTGACAGGGTGCTTGTCTCAGGGCTAAGCAAGGCTTGAGCTTATGGCACGGCAGGGCAGGGACCTCCCACACCCAGAGACAGTGAGCAGAGCCATGAAAGGGACAGGGGTGGGAGACCACTGTGGCACTGGGATTACTGGCCATGGCCACAGTGCTCAGGCCAAACTGGAGGTCCCAGAGAGTGAAAGAAGGACAGTGATGCCCACTCCCAGGCCAAGGCAGAGGCTCCTGCTGAAGCTTATGTTGCTGTTCCTCACTGCCCCATGGCTTTCCCTGCCATCTCAGAGTTGGACCCAGGCAGAGGCCATGGGCAGTCTGGTCCTCCCAGCCATCTCCTGGGTGTGTCTATAGGATGCTGACACGATCACAGACTGGGATGCTGGTGTACCTTGAACAACGGATATTCTCACTGACAGCAGTGGGAACTAGATTGAGCAGAAGAGAGGACAGAGCTCAGATGTGGTCAAGTAACATGCAAAACTTGAAATGTTACTTTTCTCCTTTGGTGGACAAGTTTTAAAATTACCAGAATACTGTCATAACTACCTGTTGGTTTGAAGATGTTAACTGTCTTGGCTATTGAGGGGGTGGTATTCTATTTTTTCAGATTTTACAAATCTAATTATACAGTTTTCACTACATGACAAAAAACATTTCTGGAAGGGTAAGTAGGTGGGTTTCACGCCCACAGCGTGCAGCTCATTGCGTTGGCACACTCCCACTCAGCTGTTACAGCACCTGCATCTCCCATATGGGGAGCACAGCACTGCTGTGTCGTCCCACTTTACAATCTTGTATGACCCACAGATGGGTGATAACATGAAAGCACATCTACTACCAGTAGTCAACTGTCACCAGCCCAAACTTGTCACCTTTGCAAGGCTTCTGTATTGCCCAGAATAACAGACCTGTGGGATAGTCACCTCCCACAAACCACCTCCATCCCCATCTGCCCCACTGCCAAGAGTTCATTTAGCTGTTCATCATCTAAAAGGAGCCAGTACAGCTCATTTCTCAGCGAGTTCCTGAGCATGCTCAGTATCCAGGGACCTTTTTTTGAGATGTTAAATTTATCAAATGAAGACTTACAAATGGAGAAAAAACCTTAATTAATGATTATCCCCTCCCAAATACTTTTGAAATAAATGAAAAGACAAGTTAAAGACAGGCTGTCACAGCATAAGAGTACACAATTAAATTAAAACTACTATTTTAAAATTTTTAGTAATTTCACTAAGAGATCTACTTTATTCGGAATAATAACTCTGCCATAAAGATGACAACAGACTGGAATTCCACTTTCAGTAAACATTACTTGACATATTATCATTACACAGAAAATGCACTGCTATAATGAATCTAAATCATCAACACGGAGCTGTGATAATCCAGCAGACTGCCTGCCCTGAAAGCAGAAAAGATTTTTAATTTTATATTATGGATCTGTTTTAAAAAATTAATTTTATATTACACGGTATGATGTTCTACTGCATTCAGAAGTAATTTTTTAAAAATAAAAAGCTGGTTAAAAAAGAACTTACTTGCTACTGAAAACCAAAGAATAAATAGCTTTTAAAACTAGAATTGAGAAATAATTGCTAACAACATATTTAGCTAAGGTTATACGTTGTTGCAATCATTCAATAAAATACACTGAAGTTAACCAATTCCCTGCCTTGTAATTTTTTATACATAATCAAATGTCTTCCAAGATACTCATGTGAAAGGGATAGATCTTCACAAGATCTCAGATAGAATTGTTCAAATACAGAAGCTGACTATACAGAAGCAACTATACGTGCTCTAATTCTGTTATAAATCCAACAAAGGAGGGAAATTTTTCATGAAATCATAGAATCATAGAATGGTTAGGGTTGGAAGGGACC